TTGACCTTGTGGAGGAAGAAGATAGGGAGAGAGCTGGTCGCATTTATCTAAACGAAATTTACAGGCGATTAGCAGGTATTGATGGGGTCATGAACGTTGTTGATGCAGAAAGAAATCTGGGATGGATCGCTCTGCCTACACCCATTGATGGGCTGAGGGCGTATAGCAGTGGATGTGGAAAATTAACAGATTTTGGGCACATTACACCTTCTGGTTATCTGATTTTCGCTAAGTATCACTGCATTTCCATGTGGCGTGGAATTCGAATGTTACCAGGCTATGAAAAGGTAGTGGGACGAATCTGCTCAGGCCAATACCCTAGATGGCTTGATGATGGAACAGTGGCAGTGGGTGTTGCTCCTGATAATCTGCACGGGCATAGTGGATCCTTTGGACCAGTTTCAGACTGCGTTGGACCATTAGTTCCCACCGGAAATATGTAAGTTTAAACTCCAATTTTTATGAATTTTTTTTAAGTGGGCAGGAGATCTGATAGTTAACAAGGTACACACAGTATAAGAGAAAAAGGAAAAGAAGGGAAATGCAAATAGAAAACTAACATATTGTTTGTGATTTAATTTGTTTTAGTGATCTTGCCAAGTTACGAAAGTTCGACTTTGACGAATGCTTCCTGACTGACGCTGCTACAAGTAACGCTCGGAGTCGGTCAAAAATTGAAGTTGGGGACATAGTGCGAATTCGAAATGTGAAGGGGACCAGAATCGTCGTATCCCGAACTCCTACTGGTTTTTGGACGGTTGGTTTTGGAGGTCAACTGTACGTGGAGTCAAGTACTCCAATTTTATGAATTTTTAGACGTAGGCAGGAGATATGATAATTAACAAGGTACACACAGTATAAGAGAAAAAGAAAAGAAGGGAAATGTAAAATAGAAGACTAACATATTGTTTGTGATTTAATTTGTTTTAGTGATCTTGCCAAGTTACGAAAGTTCGACTTTGACGAATGCTTCCTGCCTGATGCTGCTACAAGTAACGCCCGGAGTCGGTCAAAAATTGAAGTTGGGGACATAGTGCAAATTCGAAACGTGAAGGGGACCAGAATCGTTGTATCTCAAACTCCTACTGGTTTTTGGACGGTTGGTTTTGGTGGTCAACTGTACGTGGAATCAAGTGATGTTGTACTTGCTTCTGAAACTGTTTGTTTGAGGGGTGATGAGTAGGGGGTGTGAAAGTGACTATGATGTACGTACATGCGCGGCTTATACGAACTGATTGCGTTGTGATTGTGTCTTTTTTCGATTGTTAGGGGATGAAATGATCTGGGAGACGATGAAAGGTTTTTTTTTTTCTGA